CCCCCTGCCTGCCTCTCCTCTCCCACCTCCCCTCACTCCCACCCCAGGAATTCCCCTCCCGGTGTCCTCTGGGTGACCTGCAGGCGACACTCCTTCCGTGCTGGGTGCACCGTTACTCGGGCGCGGTGCTCCTGTCCACCTTTCCCAGGCTGGCGGCCACCGGTCACGGTCGCGGCCCTCCAAACCTCGCCCAGAGGAGAAGCGGAAACCCGCGGATGGAAAGGACGGCTCCTGGCGAGGGTCCGAGGTTCCGACTGGACCCCGCCCGGGATGACACAGTCTGGAACCTGGAGCCGCGGGAACGCCGCGCAGAGCGGGGCCCGAGGACCCTGCCTGCGGGCTCCTCGAGGGTGCACGGTCCCCCTGGCTAGACCGGCCCTGTCCCGTCGGACTCGGGCGGGGACAGGAGTGGTTTCGCGCGGCCTCATTTCCTAGACGGCCAGTTGAGGGCGCCAGAGAGCAACAGCCGCCCCTCCCTCCCCTCCCGCAGACACCCCAGTGTTTGGGAGATCACGTGAGAGCGCTTGGAATCCCAGGGCTGCCTTTGGCTGCCTGGGGGGACTCTCGGCCAAGTTCCTGACCTCTTAGAGCCTCAGAGCCGGGTTAAACAGGGCGGCCTCCCGTTGATGAGGTGAGACTTCAATGAGGTGAAATGAACGTCCTCAGCTTCCAAAAAATTAAGACCCCACCCCCATCATCAGCCAGTTCTCCCCGAAGAGGTAGGTTTGGGCGGGAGAGTGAGAGAGGAAGCTCTGAGCCTCTCCAGCCGGCCCCCCTCTGTCTTTCTTGGCCCGGTAGGTACTTGTTTCACCAAGTGTCATTTTCTCCAGGGTCCCCGCCTTTTCTGCACACGTCATGGTGAGCTATGTGAAGGGGCCCCTGTCTCTGACCCTCTTGAAATCATAGTGAAGCCCAGAGCCTGACCCACAAAAGGCGCTCAATAAAATCTTACTAATAGGTAAAAAAAAATAGGAGATAATATTCCAGTTAGGTTTTGAAGGATGAGTAGAAGTTTGCCAGGGGGAAGAAAAGAAGTGAATTCTAGGCAGGAGCTACTTATTCCTTTAAGGGTCCTCCTTAGACCTCGTTCCATTTGTTCTCCAAGTCATAATAACGATGGTCAATGTTTATGAGCCAAGATACTAGTCAAAGCTCTTTTCCTTGTATTTTCTCATCTAATCCTGACAACCTTACAAAGTAGAAAATGTTACCCTAGTAGGAGGTAGAGCTGCTATACAGAACTGGATGGGTTCTTTATAAATAAATGATGCATTATTTTCCTCTGGAGGTGGCTGTTTGTTCCTGACACTCGGGCTTGTTTAGCCCATCCGTTCCGGTTTTCATCAATTTGAGTAATAGTTACTGAGCATCTGCCGTGGGCCCTGCACAGAGAAGGGAACACATCAGCCAAGTACACAAATAAACAAGTCCAATAATGACAGCCTGTGTTAAACGCTCCAAAGGAAAGAAGTGAGATGATGTGATGGAGGGTAGCCGGGAGGGGGTGGAGCTGAGGACACACTAGGTAACCATGGGCAGAGCCTCTGGCGGATGAGAAGAAATCAGAACCAAGAAAAGCCAGGAAGGGTTCAAAGCCGAGGGAACAGCAAGTACAAGGTCCCAGCAGTTGGAATAAATTTAGAGGAAAGTAAAGACCAAAGTGGGTGGAGATGAAGGGACTCAGGGTGGGGGTGAGGCTGAGGATGGAGTGGGTAAGGGCGGAGAGGGGACAGTGAGGGCGAGGGCTGTGGGTTTGAGTGTAGGGAGGAGGGTGCGAGGTGAGAGTGGTGTTGTGGAGGTGATGGTGGTCAGCTTGACACTCTAGACTAGAGACTGCAGGAGTCCAGGGAAGGGTGAGGCTGCACACACAGACTGGGGGAGTCGTGTTTAAGGGCATGAGTCCAGGGCATGCAAAAGGTCAAGTGCAGGTAAAGGCGAGAGGAGCTCTGTGCCCTGTGGCTCTTTCTTGAGTCCAGGGAGGAGGAAGGAGCAGCAAGGAGACACAGAAGGAGCAGCCAGGGAGGTGGGAGGAGAGACAGGAGAGCCTGAGGTGCTGGGGGCTCCCTGGGAAGAAGGGTCATCAAGGAGGCGGGAGTGACCTGTGGCGTCCGATGCTAACAGAAGCAGGAAGAGGAGGAGCGAGACCCGACCCCAGTGCTTAGCAGGGGGATGTCACCAGTGACCTCGATGGGACTAGGGCTTCAACTATGAATTTGGGGGACACAAAATTTGAGTCCATAGTAAAGAGAGAAAAGGGGTGGTAATTGACAGGGAATGCTGGGAGTTGAGAGATTGCTTTTTCCGTTTTAAGATGGGAGATTTTCTCAATCTTTTTGGGGGGGATGGGGAGATAATTAGGTTTTTATTTATTTATTAATTCAAAGGAGGAACTGAGGATTGAACCCAGACCTCGTGCATGCTAAGCACGCGCTCTGCCACTGAACTATACCCTCCCCGCTAAGATGGGAGATTTTAAAAAATGGTTACATGCTAATGGAGAAAATCCAGAAGAAAGGATACATAGATGATTTCATGAGGTGGGGGGCAAGGACTGTTGGAGTGATGTCCTCAAGTAGACCAAAGTATGCGAGATGAATGCCCTTATGTCAGGGTTGACCTCAGGTGGGGGCAAGGACCCATTTTCCATAGTAACAGGAGGGAAGGCTGAGTTGGGTAAAGATGTTGCTGGACGCTTAGATATGAAGGTGGGAGTGTCTGAAAATTCTCTTTGGATTACTTCTATGTTTTCAAAAAAAGAGTAATGGAAGTCATCAGCTAAGAGGGAGGTTTTGGGGCAAGGGGCTGGCAATCTGATCAGAGGTGGGAAATAGTCATGTAGAGGATTGTCAGGAAGCCCCAAGGCTTGGTCAGAGTTAGGAGACGTATCTGTCGGGAGAACGCACACTAAAGATTGTTAACTAGGTGCAAGACTTGTATCCTAGGTGACTTGAGGGGTGAAATAAGAACCGTAGCTACTGCAGGCAGGAAGCAGCTACCACTACTAGACTGGTTTTATTAAAATGTAGAAACTTGAAGGAGGGGGCCCAGGAAACTGATATCTTGAGGAGGAGGTGTTGCTCAGCTGGGGCTCGTGTCTCTGGGGAGAAGAAAAAGAGGCTGGTTCTACAAGTGTTGGAATAACTGCAAACTGGATTCAATGGCTGTTTCTGGAATGTTGCAAGTGGTACTACCAGGATAAAGACTCAGGAGTAGGTGACAGCAACAGAGCAGGAACAAGCAGGAAGGAAACAAAGAAGTCTCTTCCTCCTCCAGTCTTCCCTCTGAGCCCACTGAAAGGGACCCAAGCAGGGGCAGCTGGCAAAGCAGAAATGTGGTTTGTAGTCAAGAATAGCGGGGGGCTTGCAGCTTGGTCAGCTGGCAGAGTAACCTTGAGCGTAAACCTACACCAGTCAGCATTGTTTTCTTCCACCATGATAAGCCAGGATTGGGCTTCTACTAGGTGAATACGCGGCAGCCAGGTAAAGAGAGTAGAGGGTGTGTGTAACTGCGTGATTACAACTCAGGACCCTGGAATGTAAATGCTAAGGACACGAGGGGGTGAGAGTGAGTGAAAGTGATCCAGTCCATGGACTATAGGTCTGGGGATGAAGGACCTTACCACTCAACTTCGGTCCATGGACCAGCAGAAGCAGCAGCATCTCCTGGGAGCTTTTGAGAAATGCAGAATCCCAAGCCACTGAGACCCACTGAATTGGAATCTGCATTTTAACGAGAGTCCCAAGTGATTCCTGGGATGCCAGTTTGAGAATGGCTGGCAGAAGAGATTTTGGAACTGGGAAACTATTCGGCATGAACAGGAAAGCTAGGAGGTGGTGATCGGAGGGTAGGCGGCTTGAACTTGAAGTTGTGAAGAGTGTATCTGCAGCAAAGAGGTCTAGAGCACCTGGGCACCAGCTTTCTGGTTGGGCTTTTTGGGTAGGAAGAAGCCAAGTGCGCTCGGGCATTAAGACCCAGGGGCCAGAAGGGCCTCACCTCCCCAAATTAGCAGGTTCAACTCCCATCCCACTAGCTGGAAACTTATGTTTTATTGAGTTTCCTTATTTATTTTTTCTTTCTAAGACTTTCAAATGTAGAGCGAACCCCTTTATTTTTCTTTGGGCTCGTCCATTCTGGCCCCCCCCCCTCCGATCATTCACAGTGGGACAGGCCACCCGGCCTCCTTCCTCCCCCTGGAATCCTCTGGGCGGGTGAGAGGGCGGGTTTTGCATTCAGGCAAAATAATCGCTTCGCGAGCGTACAGA